GTTGCCCAGGCGGGTCTCGAACCCACGAGCTCAGGTAATCCACTCACCTCAGCCTCCCAAGGCGTGGGATTACAGGCTGAGCCACCGAGCCCGGCTCTAAATACATCTTAAGGTAATGTCCTTAAACAAAGCAAAACAACAATAACAGAACAACCCCATAGTCTTCGTCTTCTATTATCTTTAGAACTGGCACTGTAACACCTCAAATTTAAACTTCCAATCCAGGTGCGGTGGCTCACGCCTGTAATCCTAGCATTTTGGGAGGTGGAGGCGAGAGGATTGCCTGAATCCAGGAGTTTGAGACCAGCCTGGCAATTTGGTAAGACCTGACATCTACAATAAATAAAAAAATTAGCCAGGCATAGTGCCAGAGGCCTATAGTTCCAGCTACTTGGAAAGCTGAGGTGGAAGGATTGCCTGAGCCCAGCAGGTAGAGGCTACAAGTGGCCATGAGTGTGCCACTGCACTCCAGTCTGGGCAACATAATAAGACTCTGACTCAAAAAAATATAAATAAATAAATAAATAAAAACTTCCCTTTTCCTTTATCAAACTTTGCTCTCCTGTATTCTTTCCTTGTAGCTTTCCAATTAAAATTGTCATGCTGCTGACCACTGTGGCTCACACCTGTAATCCCAGCACTTTGGGAGGCAGAGGTGAGAGGATTGCCTAAAGCCCACAGGTTTGAGACCAGTCTGGGCAGCGTGGCAAGACCTAGTCTCTACAATAAACCAAAAAGTTAGCTGCGGCTGGGTGCGGTGGCTCAAGTCTGTAATCCCAGCACTGTGGGAGGTCATGGCAAGAGGACTGCCTGAGCCTGCAGCTTCGTGACCAGCCTCGGCAAAATGTGAGACCTCGTCTCTACAATAAAATTAAAAAATTAAAAATAAGACGGGCATGGTAGCATGCGCCTGTAGTTCTGGCTACTTGGAAGGCTGAGGCGAAAGGATCGCAGGAGCCCAGCAGGTAGATGCTAAAGTGGCCAGGAGCATGCCACTGCACTACAGCCTGGGTAACAGAGTGAGACTCCAACTCAAAAAAACACAAAAAAATGTCATGTTAATAATGGCTTCTACTTCAGCCCTGCCCAATGCATTTGCAAAACAAAGAAACCGACAAATTTTGGGACTCCTTTAAGCCTCCCATGAGATTTCCCACAATTATAACTTACAGCATTAATTAGGCGATTTTGTTAAGTTTGTTTGTTAATGCTTGTGTGAGCATTAGTTTTAAGAGTAAGATTCATGCTGGGCATGGTGGCTCATGCCTGTAATCCCAGCAAATTGGGAGGGCAAGGGGAGAAGATTGCCTGAGCCCAGGAGTTTGAGACTAGACTGGGCAAGTTGGCAAGACTCATCTCTACAATACCTCAAAAAATTAGCCAGGTATGGTGGTACACGCCTATTGTTCCAGCTGAGGTAGAAAAATCACCTGAGCCCAGCAGGTCAAGGCTGCAGTAGCCTTAAGTGTGCCACTGCACTCCAGCCTGGGCGACAGAGTAAGACTTCGATTCAAACAAGCAAACAAAAAAGAAGATGATTCATAGTAAGTTGTGCACTTACTTTTACATGATGTGAGATTTAAAATATTCAGAAATTCATATTAACTGGAACCCCTGCTTACAACCTGAAAGATAAAGTTGGAATTTATTATCAGGTCATATCAAAAAGATTGTTTTTCATAGAAACACACCCAGAAAAGAAGAGAAATTCTCTAGGAAAAGGAAAGTCCACTGGTGTAGCATGCGCACAACGTATGGAAAGGAGCTCTCATACCTCAGGTGGAGGGGGCTTGATGGTGACTGGCTGCGGAGTCCTACGGGGTGGGGAGGGCTTTGGCTGCACCTGCTGCTGGGCGGGGTTATAGTAGGTCACTCCTCCATATACCTGTGACGGGGCCTGGGACCCCATAAACCAGAAGAGAAAAAAGCTAGAAATTAATTCATACAACCTATCATAAATAGGAAATATTCAGCTGCAAAAAATAACAGTATTAGGGAATTTATAATTTTTAAAATCTCTTATGTGCCCTCCCCTTTCAAAATAAAGTGACTATTCATTTCCGCCTTAATATATCATTATAATGCTCTGGTCCTATTTCTTCACAGTATTTCTCAGCTTTCTCTAATTCCTATCATTAGCTGACAAATAGAAAAGGCTGAGCTCAATGGTGACATTCCGAATACCTAATGGCGTCACTTGTTGGAAGTTAAGCAGGACAGGGTTTGGACATCAAAGGAGTAGAATACAGTTTTTTTTTTTGAGTTGGAGTCTCACTCTGTCGCCCAGACTGCAGTGCAGTGGCACGCTCCCGGCCACTGCAGCCTCGACCTGCTGGGCTCCAGCGATCCTTCCGCCTCAGCCTTCCAAGTAGCTGGAACTACAGGCATGCGCTACCACGCCCAGCTAATTTTTTGATTTATTGTAGAGATGAGGTCTCGCCAAGTTGCCCAGGCGGGTTTCGAACTCGCAGGCTCAGGCAATCCACTCATCTCAGCCAGAATACAACTTTTTAATGCAGAATAGATTTTGTTCACTATGATGTACTACAATACTCAAATTAAACACCACTAAGGAAACTGAAGAGAATAAGCAGATAATGGGCATTACATAAGCTGCATTTCCAGCTCCTAACCACTAAGAGGCATCCTGGTGTAACATACAAACCAGTGGCACTGAGATGTTCTCAAATTCCTTTAGCAGTCTCCCCATACCACGTTTCTGTCTGAAATAAAGAACATGTCACTAGAAGAATGTGCTCATTAGCCATCTCACCTGCGTATTAGGATACAGATGAGGAGGTGGTGGGGGAGGCAGCGCCCCTGGAGCATAAGGGTAACTGGGATTACCAAAGTTCATGACGCCCGGAGCAGAAAAGTAAGTAGGAGCAAGCAACTGCTGAGGTGGTGGCTGTCCTGGAGACATGGACACTGGTGGGGGATAGAGGCCCGGGTTGGGCAGAGGTGCCGGGGTCTGGTGGGGATGTAAACCTAGACAAGGAGAGGAAAACAAACACTGAAAAAGAAGGGAACACCATTTTCATGGGATGACCTGGCTGAACTGCTCAGCACAAACAGGCTCAGGATGGAAGTCCTCAAGATGGACACAAGAGGAGTTTGTTGCTCAAGCAGCCAGGACGGCCAGCCTCACAGGCCAGCAACACAGAGCTCAGGAGGATGGGGTTTGTAGAGCTCCCAACATACATCCTCACGTACTGGAAGCATATAAGCAGAGTGCAAAGCTTACCTGGGTGGGGAAGGTGCATTTCTGGCTGCACAATCATGCCCTGTGGAGGCAGTGGGGCAGGGCTGTCACCATGGGTATAGATTGGTCCCTGGAACTGCACTGTAAGATACCACATTGGGACTCTCATAAACCCTCACTCTTCATATCACATGGACAAGTCTCCTTGTCCCCCAAACCCTTTAAAAGATGCTCTCAATTTTCCATGCGAAAACAACAGCAACCAGTCAATATCTGATAACCACTGCGAGATGTCAGAAGAGAAATTCAGGAGCCAGGAGGTTAGTCTCTAGTTTACTTCATTCTGCCAAGAAAGGTACCGCAACAAGAAAAAAAACTCACATGGATCATAGTAATGTCCCTCCATGATACTGATATGCACAGGAGGAGCGGGAGGCTCTGGCACGGGTCTTTGTCGCTGGGATGAATAACGTTTGGCTCGACCACTCTGGACACCCTAAGATAAAGAGAGAGGCTTGAGCCAGGCTCGGTGGCTCAGCCTGTAATCCTGCACCTTGGGAGGCTGAGGTGAGTGGATTGCCTGAGCCTGCGGGGTCGAAACCCGCCTGGGCAACTTGGTGAGACCTCATCTCTACAATAAATCAAAAAATTAGCTGGGTGTGGTAGTGCGCGCCTGTAGTTTCAGCTACTTGGAAGGCTGAGGCGGAAGGATCACCGGAGTCCAGCAGGTCGAGGTTGCGGTGGCCGGGAGCAGCCACTGCACTCCAGTCTGGGTGACAGAGTGAGACTCCAACTCAAAAAAAAAGAGAGAGAGAGGCTTGAACAAGGAGACTTCCAGGGGCTCTCATATCAGGTCCTACCCTCCTTTAGATGCCAAAGCACTGGGTACATTACAGGCGTTTAGTAAGTATTTGCAAAGTGAATTGAAAAAAAAAAATCAATGAATAAACATCAAGATTTGAGCCTAAATCTTCTTCCTTACATTTCTAAGACCCAAATTAAAAGAAACATGGGTGATCAACGAGAAAACTGACTTTAAGACCTTATCTTGGTTTACATAGTGAGCAAGCTGTAACATACAGCCCTTTCCCTTATCTCTCCCTTTTCCCTTTTTGTACCATTTCTTCCATCCGGTTAAACTGAGGCGGAGGTCCTGCTCCCATGTGTATATGGTTGGGCATACCTGTAATACACCAAAAAAAAAAAAAAAAAAAAATCACTGCTGTAGAGCAAGACATATGAATTGAATAGGATCAAAAATGCCAGCAAGAAAATGACACGTAAAAGACTCAACAGAGGGAATAGATTCCTTCTTTTAAACTAACAAAATTCTTTTTAAACTCTCTGCTTCCTGTCAACACTAGCATTTGGAAATTTGCCCCCACTGCCTGTCATTTTAATACAGCAATAAAGTCCCTGAATGTCAAAAAATGACTTCAGTGAAGAAACTCAAGTCCACATTTTCCCTACCAAATACATCCTTGCATTGAAACCCTGGAGACTGTAATTATTACATTACATTGTTCCACATATTGAAAAGTCTCAGCCCAAGAGTTTCTGAGTAACAGCTGGACAGAGGAGCAAAGTTCTGTAAACCTGTTTGACTGTATCCTAGTCACAGAGGTCTAGGCTGGAAGTTTAAGAGAGCCCCATCTGGCTAAAAATGACTCAAGATGGCCGGGCGCGGTGGCTCAGCCTGTAATCCCCACACTTTGGGAGGCTGAGGTGAGAGGACTGCCTGAGCCCAGCATGGGCAACTTGGTGAGAACTCATTTCTATAATAAATCACAAAAACTAGCTGGCCATGGTGGCATGTGTCTGAAGTTCCAGCTACTTGGAAGGCTGAGGTGAAGGATCACCTAAGCCCAGCAGGTCGAGGCTGCGGTGGCCATGAGCATGCCACCGCACTCCAGCCTGGGTGACAAGAGAGAGACTCCAACTAAAAATAAAATAAAATAAAATAAAATAATTAAATTAAAAAATGACTCAAGACGGAATTTTCTAGAGACTGTATTCCAGTGGTAATGAGATATTGGTAAGAAGGTATACTCCTCTATCCAGAGATCAACTCCAGGTTCAGTTTAGGCTACTGTGGTATCTGGTATTCAAAAACCACCCAAAAGCCGGGCTCAGTGGCTCAGCCTGTAATCCCACGTCTTTGGAAGGTTGAGGCGAGTGGATTGCCTGAGCCTGCGGGTTCAAGACCCACCTGGGCAACTTGGTGAGAC